CCTGAGTCCACCTGCTAGCGTGGTGGCAGCGGTAAATCAGGAGCTAGACCGACGGGGATTCCAGGGAGTGGGCGCTGGGTCAATCTCGGAGATTGCGTACCGAGGCAATGTAGATGGAAGCAAACTCTGCATTAGCCACGCGTGGAACGGGCGCTGTGCCCGGGCGCAGACGGGGCAGCCCTGCCGGTTTAAACACCCGGCAACGGAGGCAGAGCAAGTGACGCAGCTGGTGGACGCCCTGGTTAGCCGCAATGAAGCGATGCGCAAGGTATAAGTGGTAGTCAGGGGCGCGGGAAACAAGACAATCGGCGGGAAGATAGCTGCTGGTGGGTCGGTTCTGTCGGTGGCGGCTGGAATAAAGCCTGTCGCGGTCCAGGTGTTGGACGAGCGGCCTGTGACTGCCGTTCAGGACTGGGGACAGCGGTGCGGTTCTGGTTACGGTAGGGGGCAGCTCTGCCCTTTTGGACACCTAAGTGTAAGCTCAAAGACCTTCTTATCTTGTTTCCCGCCCCCACCGGTTATTATTCGGCTTATAGGAGACCCAAGCCCAGAGGCCTTTGCTAACCAGGTCGACTGAGAGCACGCAGGGAACGGCAAGGGACGATGACAGGAAACCTGACGTGGGTTACCCGGCAGACACTCAGGATGGCGACGGAAGGGATCCGACCGAGTTGGTGTCGTTGGAAGATGACCCTTGCGAAGACGACCAGTGGGTGAGTGACCAGCCGACAGGGTGGGAATCCAGAGGCGTAGGACTAGCACCGGCCCGGGAAGGGAGTGCCCACAACGCCGCGGGCAGGGAAGCACTCCAGCTGCTACAGGAAGCCTGGCAGAGGTTACAGCGGCTGGGTCAGCCGGACGCGGTAGATCCGCGGGATGAACAGGAGTTTCTCGAAGAGGTCGTCCGTTTGCTCCCGGACCCCGAAGACTTCCAACCCGGAAGGTTACGACTACATGTTGCAGTGTGGCGAGCGTTCTTTCAGGCAGCTAACGAAGGCCGGCCCTTCACGGACAAACAGAAACAGTGGCTAGAATACCTGCGGGGCGGGATCCAGCTGGAGTGGGTGCCGTGCGACTACCCAGGGCAAGAACTAGCCCCGGAGCGGGGACGCAGGCTAGCTATAGTGCGTGAAATGCTGCGGGTCGCGGCGCCGGATTGCGACATAGACTTTATGATGGCGGGTGACCGGCCGCGGGCCGTGCAGTTTCCTAACCATCGCAGCGCGACTCAGCACCATGAGTTTGTTACAGCCGAATTGAGAAAGGCCCTGGACCGAGGAGTGATACGGGAATGGCCAGCCGACGAGCCTCCCCCCACGGTCGTCAATGGCTTGCGGGTGGTGGAAAAAGACGGAAAGCTGCGCCTCTGTATTAACCCGATGTACATTAACTGTTTCTTGAGGTACCGGCCTGTGAAGTATGAACGACTGGCAGAAGTCCCTAGCTACCTCTTACCGGAAGATTGGTTGTACACCACGGACGACAAGAGCGGGTACTGGCAGCTATCACTCCACGAACGGGAGCACACATATCTGGCTATGCGGTGGCGGGGGCAGACGCTTTTTTGGCCACATCTGCCGTTCGGCCTGGCGCCGGCCTGCCACTTGTACACAAGCATGAAGCTCGAGGTTTTCCGGCCTTTACGGCAGCTCGGGGTCCGCATGTCTTTCCTGATAGACGACCAGATGGGTGCCGCGGGGTCGAAGGCCGCGGCACAGTTCCAGTGTGGGGCGGTGGTACGGCTGCTGGCAGCCCTGGGCTTCACCCTCAGCCTGTCCAAGTGCCAGCTGATTCCCAGAAGGCGAGTCCGTTTCTTGGGAATGGAGGTGGATGCGGAGGCGCAAGCATTCAGAGTACCAGACGACAAGCTAGCAAGATTCCGTACGCTGCTTACACAGCTCGAAGGGGAGCGGCTAACAGTGCGGCAGGTGGCGCAGGTGGCCGGCAAAATCATCGCCATGACGCCCGCCGTCACCACGGCACCTCTGTATGCGCGGATGGTGTGGCGCGTAGCCCGGGGTGTGGCGTGGGACAAAGAGGTTTGGGACCCGGCGGAGGTGTTACGCCAGGCAGGCTTGTTCACGGAGCTGCTGGGCAGGCGCAACGGGACAGCCACTTGGCGGAAAGGACCAGCCCTACGACTGACGACGGAGCTAGTCGGGGACGCCTCGGACAGGGCCTTCGCAGCCTTCTTACCTGGGGAAGAACTGGGTGCCCACAGCCGCATGCTCGTGCCCTTCAAAGCCCAGGAAACCCAGCGGCTGCAGCGGAATGACTTTAGCAGCACAGAAAGAGAACTGCGGGCGCTGCTGTACAGCTTGCACTGGTTGCGAGAGCAGGCACCGAACCTGTTGTACGGCCGGACGGTGCAATACCAGACGGACAGCCAACCGGCGGAATTCTGCATGGTTGGAATGAAAGGCAACGCCGCTTGCCTGCCCATAGTGGCGGAGATCCATCGCCTCTGCGCCGATACGGACACGGACATTTCAGTGGTGTGGTACCCACGCAGCCGGGAGCAGCAACAGCAGGCAGACGCGCTCAGCAAATACGAAGATGGATCACAGTGGATGCTGAACCCGACCGTCTACGCAAAGCTGTGGGAGCACCCCTGCGTTCACGGCCGCAGCCCGTCTCTGGACGTTTTCGCGGACGCGCACACCACGAAGGTGCCAGGTAGTTTCTTTGCGGCCAACTGGTGCCCGGGAGTCAAAGGAGTAGACGCTTTCGCCCAGGATTGGGGTTCTCCAAGGTGGGGACGCCTGGAAGGAGGGGAAACTGTTCGGCCCCTGCTGTACATTAACCCCCCGTTCAGTGCCGTGGCAAGAGTGCTGCGCAAGGTGGCGGAGGAGCGGCCCGATTGTGTACTGATCCTCCCGGTCTGGCCACGCGCATGGGTGGCTATCCTAAGGACGCTGCCCATCAGAGCGCAGATGACCCTGGCCCACAGGGAGCTCTTCATCCCTGGACCACAAGTGCCCAACGCCGCAAAAAGGGGCCCTATGACACCCCGATACCGGGTACAGGCTGTGTATGTGCTATGGTAGGGGCAAGGAACGGAAGAGCTGGGGGACGGGAGGACCTAGGGTCAACACCTGGGAAGTATGTGTGTGGGGGAGAGACCGCTCCGCGGTGTGTGTTGGGGCTGATCGGAGTTGTCTTTGAAGGGTTTGGGTACCGCGGGAGTGTGGTCGCAGACGCAATGGCCTTCCCCACAATAAGTTAGTAGTGAGTACGGATCACGCGATGACGTTTAAGCAATGGGATCATGTACCTCACAATCACCCTTTCTTATATGTCAATGACGCAGACATGGTTGCTTGCCGTTTACCGATATACAATGACGAAGTTTGAGGGCGCACGTCGGAGCCTCAATTTTTGTTTAAGCGTACTAACTGAGGCCGTATGTCCAGTGAAGTTAGTACGGCCTGGCCGAGTTCTTTTTGAATAAGGCCCACAGTGTTGTGCGGGAGGCGTTCCTATGGGCGCTGCACTCGACCCGTTCGGGGTCCACTGTAACAATCGCATCTCAATTTCGTCAAACGCTGACCCCTCGTACCGTTACTTGAAATGCGTCGCCAATTTCGCGAGTTATAACAAACGGCCAAGCCCAATCGCTTATAAAGACCACATACTTGACAAATTGTGCGCGCTTTGCACTCCGACTGAATTTCTAGTCACACCGCTGCAGTTTATTTTGGAAAATGAACAAGGACAACGCCGCTCCTGTTGCTCGCCCGCGCACGACCGCTTACATAGCCGATATGTAACCCATTGTAGTATCAGGGCTGAAGCCATCCGCGAAATGGCAAGTCGGCCGCACTTCCGGCGGCATGGGCCGCGCCGCGTCGGCCCACACGCTCAATCTCTGCCACTGAGCATTGAACATATCTTCAAGATTATCAAAAATTTCATCCAGCGCGACCGCTAGGGCAAACGCCATCGCGGCTCGCGCGGGATGCAGTGCCATTGCAGTAGGCAGGGCTGCCAATCACCCTTCAAATATATATTGCAATTCTAAGGGGATGTTCTGAAGTTTTGGCCATTGAAAGACATAAAATGGAGATGGTTTTACACAGCTCGCGCCAACGAATACAACGTCGTCGTAATGTCCCGTGTGAACTGGGTGACTTTCTCAGGGCCACTTTTACCTAAAAGTTTTCGCAACGTAACGTAGCATGTGAATCCAGTATTACTGTCCATCGTGGCAATCGACCGGAATTCCCTTTTCACACGTGACGAACGGCAGTTCTGGGCAATCCATTTATTATTTACAAAGTTTCAAAATAACACGGTCACGGCTGCCCCTTCTCCTCCTCCTCCTCCACCTCAGGGGTAGACCCGGGAGGTTTCCGGGGTACCCAGGCAGACAGCACCGAAGAACAGACCGCTATTCCCAATCGATCCAGAGGCGACCGCAACCTCCCCCCCCGCCCCCGCGCCATCTTGTGAGTGTGTGAGAGTGAGTGTGCGTGCACATCTGAGGTACGCAGAACTACAAACACACATTTTATGATACAGTTCCGAGCAAGTCCAAACTACCAACTGCCAACCGTAACAGCAACACCTAACTCCCAGCATCTGCCCTCTACGGGAGACGACGGGACGAGCAACGGCTCCCTCTCAGGCCGCCGCACCCATGTCGGCACCATCTGCACGGCCCTCTGTAGTTAGATGATGACGTCATGACACCTAACCAACCAAACCGACATGAACCACTTTCGGAAGTTCTCCTCTCATCCGCCCCCCACGTCACCCTATACCCCACCAGCATCACGGATATGCGCACTCCAGGCGGGTATTGGTCCCCTCCCCCTCCCCCCCGGACAGCTCTCGGGGGTCCCCCCACCCCCCGGACCCCTCACAACCCACCACTGTGTACCGCACCATACCAGCGCACTTTTACCTTTTACCTTTGCACATCAGCCATAGCCACCACCACCACAGCCACCACCGCCACCGTCAAGCCGCCGCGTAGCTATGGCAGAGCTATTCGCGGGTCAGCTGGCCAGTACGAGCCCACTGATGCCGTACTGGCCCCACGCCGCCATCAGCGCCTCACGTTCCGCCGCCCAGCCGCTCTTCAGCTTTGTCACTCGGCTGCTGGTGTGGCCGCCACCGCCGCCGGCGTGGCTAGTACCGCCGCCGCCGCCGCCGCCGCCGCCGCGGGCCCCCCCCCGCCCCCCGCTGCTCCGCGGCAGCGCCACCGCCTGACCCTCCAGCGGCAGCCCCGACCCCTCGCCGTCACCATCGTCCTGCACGCGAGGATGTGTATGTGTTTAACCCGATTTCAAACGTTTGCCGTACAGCGCGGTTACGAAGGGTTACGGAGCGTTGTAAGGCAAACATGCTGGGTTAGTAGGGGATGGGAGTGAGGGGGAGTAGGAGGCATTTCTCCTGCTCCCCCCGTACTTGCACTCGCGCCCGCAACCTGCGCTACCTCTTACAGAGCCCTCCTAAAGGCCCCCCTACACACACGCACACAGGCCGTGGCTACGGCAAAATCACCCCTGCCGTACCTGTACGACCAGCAGCGGTCTCGCAGTACGACAAGTCGAAGTCGGCGAACAACCTTTTGCCTGAGCAGCCGCTGCCTGCGCGCATGCACACGTTGTGTGTACGGCGGTCCGGAGTCCCATTTTTAGAGAAAGCGGTCAAGTCGCAGAGAGGTTGGGGGTTGTGGAGGGGGACGGCGGCCCCCGGTGACTGTTGAGCCCGGGGGCCCGGCATACTGGTGGCGGAGACACACACACATACATACATACACATACATACACATACACACACATGCATACACACACGACCTTGGGGAACTGTTCAGCGCCTTGTCGCGGCCACTCCAGGGTGGCGGGCGGGAGGGGAGCTGTGTAGCCCGCAGCTACTACTGGCGTACGGCAGCAACGGGCTGGCCCCACGCCGGCACATGAAGGTCGCACCCGTGGGCCCCCCCTAGGGCTCCCGATAGCGATGATCCCGATATCGATCCCAATCTGTCTGATAACGACCTCCACAACGACCCCCACCCCAACCCGGTAGGCAGGATCACCCGGGACTGTGTCGGGGTCCAGGTAACAAATTCGTAATTGATCGTACTGGGCGGCTTTAGCAAGTACGGATTACGTGGCCGAATCCGGGTTGTTATCACGTCATTCGCGAACAGCACTTCCACCAGACGGGATCGCAACAAGATCAGACGGGAAGAACGCCTACCTACTGTCAAACTCTGTGGACATATCAGCAACTACAGCCATTGAGTCAGAGTCACACAGGGCTGTACACAGGGCCGTACACAGGGCCGTACAAGTACGCACCTCGCCTCTTCGGCGACCTCGAGCTGGTTGTCCGACGGCCCCCTCCCCCTCCCCCTTCCCCTTTCCCCCCACAAGACCCGTAGGCCGCTGCTGTTGCTGTTGCTGTTGCTGATGACGCTGCGGGAGCTGAGGCGGCGGCCGCTCCGGCGGCTGCTGGCCACCGGCCCCGGAGCGCCCTAGAGCGGACCCCACCACCACCGGGGCGCCCGCACCTGCAAATGGCCAGGCGGTTGCAGTACGGAGAAGGTGAAAAGGAGGACTAGCAGCCGAGCTACCTACAGCCCTGCAGCCCTACCAGCTAGCACGCGTGGTTTTACCCGGACCGCAATCTGCAACGATAGGAGCCAAAGAGCACTACAGCTCCTGCTATGGCCGCTGCAAGCTCATTAACTGTCATCGCTACTGCGGCTCAAACGCGCTGCCGCATCGTCCCCCTCCCCCCTGAGGGCCCTGTGCGCCGGCCAGACACGTTGGTTGGTTTGGTGGCGATCCCGCAGAAAAGGAACGGTGTACTGCACGGCAAATTGCATGAAATTGAATATTGTTGGGATATAGAAACACGGTCGTACTGCACAGAGGCCAATAATGATAACCCAACGTATCTCCGCTCACACCGACGTATCATATTCATCAGATAGATGACAATAACCCATAAGAAGAACCAGAACCAGAACCAGAGCTGGCTCCCCTCCCACCCAAACCCCGTGAACCCGGAGGACATTCGCTCGTCACCGCCGCCACCACCGCCACCACCGGCCCACCAGACTGCCAAATCCAGCTGAGCATCCCCACCCACATCACACCACCAACAACAACCGCCCAATGCCGAAATAAACCGCAAACATTACTCCAACAATAGCTTCCGTTCCTATGGATGGATCCATTCGTACCAGTCTTTCCACAGGGCGGGAAGGGGCTCTGTACGGCACTGCCCGGCGACCGCCGGCCACCGCCCGCCCCTCCCCTCGCTGACGTGTTCCGCAGCTGCCTCTTGAGCCTCTGGGCCTCCTTAGCCTGTATGTATGTATGTGCAGGCGGACGGGCGGGCACATGAAGGTTTTAGCATGTTGGGGGGAGGTCCTCCACCGCAGAGAACAGAGCAGTCACGAGAGAGCTCAGCTCAAACCAACCGACCCACGGGTCAGTGCAGGGCCACATTCTCATATGCATCCCGACCAGCCTTAAACCAACACACCGGCAGCAGGGCCCGAGAGGAGGCCTCTGATAATAGAATTTGCTCGTTGACGGTTTGAAAGTACTAGTTGGTTGGTTGGTTGGTTGGGCAGTTGCGGCCGTTGCTTACCGCCTTCTTTGCTGCCTTGCGCGCCGCCTTCTCCTCGGCGCGCCGCTCTCCACCGGCGACCTGATTGCTCTGACCACCATCTGTCTCGTTGGAGCCACTGCCACTGCCGCCCTGACCACCACCACCACCATCGTATACACCGTCGTCGCTTTCGTAGTCGCTTTCTGCGGGCGGTGGTGAAGGTTAGGAAGACAGCGCAAGACGGACGGCCGGGCAGTCGAGACAACTAAGTAGTAGTAGTAGTAGTAGCAGTAGTAGTAGTAGTAGTAGGAGGAGGAGGAGGAGGAGGGGGAGGGGGTTGCCGGCGAGGGGGGCAAGGGGGCCATTGGCGGGGACTCGGATGTGTCGTACTGCCTCCTCCTCCTTACAATTTCCCGTGAAGACCCGCACTTCCCATCTGGGAGTGTCAGGGGGGCCGTGTGCGGTCACCTGCTGGGGAGTTCACCGGTCACCCCCTCCGCCGCGGCCGCCACCGCCGCCTTCACTTCCTCCCCCTCCTCCTTCACCTCCCCCCTCCTCCGCCGCCTCCATCACAGGCCACCAAGGCCACCAAGGCACACCTCACAGCCCCGCATCCCGCATTCGACACACCGCTGTGCCGGGTGTGAGGAGGACGTGTCCCCACCCACCCACCTCACACACACACCAAGAATACCAACAACAACACGCCTTCAACACCTTCGCGCTGCGGCCCGCTAATGACATCTGCGTCGCCAGCAGCCGTACCGCAATACGCGGTACTCCACCGCTGCCTGCACTTCCCCACCTTCCCCACCAACGGGCTCCACCTCCGCACCATCTCCATCTCCATCTCCAACACCGCCGCCGATGTCGTCATCATCACCATCGAACACCGCCTGACTGCCGCCGCCGGCGGCGGCGGCGGCGGCGGCGGCGGCGGCGGCGGCGGCGGCGGCGGCGGCGGTGCAGCTCCTCCGCGGGGTGCTGCGGGACAAGGCCTCCACAGCACTCCGGAGGTAGAAGCGAGTACGGCAGGCCTCATGGTACGGCAGCGTGGTGAGAGCCGCGTATGACACACCGTACCGTTCCACCGCCTCGAGTGCCGTCACCAAGCCGTACTTGGGGCTCTTCAGTGTGCAGTTTACAGGCAGTACACACAGTTGGGCAGTACGTACGGCATTACATGGTGCGCCGCACGTACGGCGAGGCGGTGCGAGGCGGTGCAGTTCGCACGAGGCGGGCGAGGTCAGCTCGGGACTCAGACTACTCGGAACTGCACAAACTGCTAAAAGCGCTTCCAAGGCCTCTCTCGTAGTAGTGGTAGTAGTGGTAGTAGTGGTAGTAGTGGTAGTAGTGGTCAAGCCGTCGGACAGCCGTTAGTGGTGGCGAGGAAGGGGGGAGATGACCCCCCTCCCCCCGCCATTGCCCATCCGCCCACCCAGCTCCATTGACGACCCCTTTTGCGGTCACCAGCTACTCGGCGGCCCCGGCCCCCCCCACCCGCCACCCCACCCGCCGCCCCGCGACCCACTCGGTGCTCGCAGCGCTCACACAGCCTGCAGCCCAGCAAGGCGAACACGTAGCGGCTGGGGTGGCCGCACTCCACACACAGAGACCGCCTGCGGAGGCTGAACCCCGCCTGGTTGGAAGGGGGTGAGGGCGGTTAAGAGGGTGAGGGGGATAAAGCGGGTGAGAAGGTGGGGCCCTCCGATGGACTAGGGGGGTTGGATAGGGGTGGGGTTGGGGGCCCCGGCCTGATACGGGATCGTTCGGGTAGGCACCCAAGGTATTGGGGCACAGACACTGTTGCAAGCGGATAGCGTGGGGAGGGCGTTGGGGAGGGAGGGGAGGGTTTTAGATTTGTACGACATCCGCGTCACCTGCCAAGAGGTGCCCCGTGGGAAGCCGCTCCAGCCCAGCGCCTCACAGCGGGGCCGCCACACGTCATCGATGAAGGCGGTGTCACGCAGGTAGCGACAGCAGGCACCCAGTCGCACCAAGTCCGATGACTCCAGGAAAGGTAGGAACTGCTTGTTCGGTGTGTGTGCGGGGGTGGGTCTAGGGTTTGGAGTTGAGGCTTGGGATTTAAGATTGCTAAATTTGCTTCCACAAAGGGTTGAAGGGGCAAGAAATAGGCGAAGAGGTATTGCCTGCTAACGAGTGGGGGCTAACCTATGAGTGGGAAGGGAGGGAGGGGTGGGTGGCCTTGCGGCGTGTTGGGTTGGGAGGTAAGAGTACGCGTGCATCCCGGAACCCATTCTTTTCTTTCAAGTGTAGCATAGGTGTAAGATATACAGAGCTTCCATGGAAGCCAATACGCTCTAAAACAGATATGCAACTGGCGTTCCTTACATGCTTCACAAGTAACGAAGCTGGCAGCTGCGACAGGAGATTGCCTTCTTCCCCAGCACGGCCGTTAACGTCGCCATCAGCAAACGACATTTCTATTTTTGTAGAACGCTGGGATTTTAGAACGTTGGAAGTTCCGGTCTCAGTCGACTGACTATTCCACAAGCCTCATGCGCAACGAAGGACTTCTAGTAGGAGCAGTCTGGTGGCTAGAAGTTCCACTAACCAATGCAAGCCCAATCCGTTACTTGAGCATAATTTAGATGTCCTGGTAAGAAAAGACTGAACCCTAACCACGTATTGCAAAAGGGGCTATCGCTTCAGGCCTTGAGTAAATTAAAAAACAAAGATTTACTTGGTGCTACTTTAATTAATCAGACTTTGCATTCTATAATTATGCCTTAAACGCCTGGACCCGCGGGCCCAGCATTGGCGCATGGGATGCACGGAGATGTGGCATCCTCACTAACCTCGATAAGCAGTTACAAGTTCTCACAAGCCAAAGTTACACTAGACACCGAGCGCCGACCATCCCGCACGGAGTACGAAATGAAGCGATTGACGCGTGTGCCGTGCTGCCACTGGGACGCCAGCGCCGCCGGGAAGCAATCGCATGCTCTTCGGCAGCCCACCAAAAAGCCGCAACATAGCTGCCAAGCTCCGAAACGGCTTCACACCTGCCAGGTTAGACAGTATTACACATATAGCTCAGGTCCATCCATATCGCTTGCGGCCACATAACCCCCCTTCCTGGACAGACCCACCGTACGGAAAGTGGCCGGTTGGTACGGCGGGCATATAATGGATAGTGCCAATCTAGGTCAACCCTGCACTCATGAAGCTTTTTGGGTATGGTGTACAGACGTACGGCGTCAGGCTGAACAACAGCATGAACTTACATAATCCATAATCCATAATACATAAAAATTACATAATCCATAATCCATAATCCATAATCCATAATCCATATTACATATTACATATTACATATTACATAATACATACGTGCGTGTTACACGGTTGGGGATGCGTTGAGCAATCAGGAGCTGACTAGGATAAGGGCAAGCATATAACGCTATGACCGTCCGCGGAATTTCGTACGGCACTTGTACGGCTTGCGTACGGCTCCCCAACAGGTGGGACGCAGGCGGCGGTCAAGGCACGGGTAGGTCTCCATTGTGCCGCTGCCGTACGCAATTGGGAAGCGCCCCAGCCTTCTTCCCATCATGTTCATGTCGGTTCCAGATAACGGTAACGTCGGACTTCTGAGGTACATGTACAGCTTGCATTCCGCTGCCCTTATGATGGGGGTAATACACAATATCAATCAGGAATCTAGTATTTGTCATCTTAACGCACACTCATTTTCGTTCCTCACTTCGGCCTCATCCTAACCATTTAAAGTCCGGAAAAGGTTGCAGACCAAGGCCAAGCCCAACCACCCGAGGAACCCCAGGCGTTACGAGTAGTGCGTTGAGATCCAGAAACGGTTGGGGCAGAGGTACGACAAAGGTACGACAAAAAACATTAAGCCTGCTGGTTGAGTTCGTTTGCCCTTGCTTATCTAGGCAACGCGCTTCTGCCAGCGTCGTTCCGGTTCGTCGTCACTTAGTCATTATTAGTTAAATAAGTTTCGTTGCCGCCTTTCAAGGATGCAACAAGCCCGGCAGCGTATGCTTTGGAGGCGTATGCTTTGGAGGCGTATGCTTTGGAGGCGTATGCTCTGTCCGGCATTACTGCGATGATACGTACACAAGTACAGGAGCTCGTTGCTTAGGTGGCTTAGGAGCTCCTCTGTAGGTGCAGTAACTCACCAAGCACGTATCTGCGCTGCGGCCTTCCGAATGTTTCCGTGCCGCAGAAGTGATTTAGGCAACTTGCAAATTGCGGAGACTTGCTTCATTAAGACCGAACTTGTTGTGCGCATCGAAAAAGTCATACGAGGAACTCGTTTCGTTACGAGTAATGTTGATATCGAATCACTTCACGGCATTCAATAATAAGTACTTTCAAAGCAAGCGACCGCGGCGAACCAGGGAAAGAGCTCACCGTTCGAGCGGCGCAGGTAAGACGGCCAGGACGGGAAACAAGAAGGTAAGTTCGGTCTTGCTGTAAGGTTAAAAAGTCGCTGTTGTAAAAAACAGCTGTTTACATGGCTGTTTACCTCTGTTACTGGACTGTTAAACACTGTGACACGGCTGTTTACCTTTGTTAGCGGACTGTTAAACACAGCAAAGCTCTCCCCGGGTCCTATTACTGCTGCTACCATTCTCTGGTATATGATGAGTGTCGGTCACATTTCAACAAAGTCTTGGATAAGGTCATTAACTCTTAATGACAATCAACAGGATACGGCGGGTGCATCTGCCGTGAGGACGGCGAGGGAAAGGACCGGTGATCTTCGGGCGCCTGGCTGGCTGGTGACGCGGAGGCATGTCACGTCGCCGCAGCAGCCTGCCGTGCGCGGTTGATGTTAACCGTGAGCGCGGCTGCTCGAGGGGGAAGCGTTTCCGCAAGACTTGGATCACACAAAAGCCATGCATAAGCATCCAACACACCCGCGTCGGCTTCAGCCGGCGAGGAAACTGCCGAAACGTTTGTTAGTTTGAAACTTGGCAAGATCTCAACAGCTCTGAGGGAACATGAAGCCGGGTACATGGCCGGGTACATGTCCGGGTACATGCCGGCACGGCGCCGGCAACCGACATCATTAACAATTAAGATTAGTTTTGTGAGTTATGGAAAGATAACAGCTGTTGGAAAGCAAGGCGACTGTATTCCCTAAATCTGTCAATCAAGCCAAATGCAAACAGACGGTTAGCATCTGTTGGCTCATAATCCTTTCAGGAGCTATTGATGATAGCAGAGTGAATGGATGTATTTGCAAGGCGAAAGATTGTGGCATATGCTGAAGGGGGTGACAGTGCGTCATAGCGGTCAAAGCATGTGGATGTGGGCCGCAGACGGCGTCCCGACCGCTGCCATCCATGCTTTGTGGAAATTTTTTGAAGGTATCATGTATGGTTCACGCGGTTCATGCATCCATTCCCTCCACAAGAAGACGAACTGAATCAGGCCGGGATCAGGGCCCGAATGCTCCTGACCACTACGATTACTGTAATACCTACTATCGCTGCTTCTACTTCATAGGTTTGGTGTCCTCGCGGCAACTGATGACGAAAAAAGCGCACAAGCCAAGCTGGAAACCGTATTCGCAGCGCACCTCTGACTATCAGCGCCTGCTCATTCTGTGTTTGTTGGAGCGTCCGGAAACGCTTAGCAATCCTGATGTGGGCATTCAGCATGTGGGCTGGTCCAAGTTTCCAGCCAGGTAAGGCACAGCAGCTTCATCCAGGAAACTATTACTGGCAGATATTACTGGCTCTTATTATTCTTGTAATGCATGAGAGGTCTCGAAGCAAACCATTTTTTCCAATGAGGATGCCAAATGCTCATGCTTTAAAGCAGCAGGCCCCAGCGCCACATACCAGCAGGTACTGAGAAATGCTCTATTGAAATTTTGTACCAATCGCGAACACCGATTGGCAGCGCTTATGTCGTACTGGGCTAACTGAGCGCCTAGGGAAACAGAAAGTCTTATTGTTATCGCGGGTCGTTATTTAAACATCGCAGCAAAACCTAATATAACCTGAAAGCTTCAACTCGTTAAATGTCAAAAGCGCTCAGAGATTTTCTTATACGGCTTCCACTTCGAGCTCAGGTTCGTACCCCATCGAGGGCCGAGAAAGTTCAGTTTGAAGAACGACCCTGCATTTGTGTTTCTTTCATTGCCTCCACTAAGGCAATAAATAATCCTTTTCTTTCATCCATATTATAAATATTTATAATTAGTATCAAGTACGTTTTCGTAGTTTCAGGTGACAAGCAACAAGCAGGCGGGCGGGTCGCATTTACCTTGGTTGCAAAACTGTGCTTGCTTCGCACCCGCGCTCGCGCGTAATCTGCCATACGGATGTACTTACAATAATATTCTGCATCCTCTAAAGTATCTTCCGCCTTGGTAATGAGATCCTAGATGGATGATCGAGTGCACTGCGCATGTGGTGCGTGTTGATCCCGTATGTGGATGGCTATGGATGCAAACAGGTCGAAGACTGAAAACATGTAATTTCGCACCTTTTGCTGTACTCAAGCTGCATTTCCAACTTGCCAACTGCACCTCAAACTGATCCTGATGATTACAGGTATTGTCTTACCCGCATGTGCATGTATAGTAACAGCGCCCACCACAGCAACGGCAGCATGTTTCCTTGAACAGTCTTTTGGCCTTTTTTAAGGTAGTGAAAAAATCACAGCGAAGCAGCTTTGTAATAATCCCAGCAGGAAACCAGTCAATCACTTGCTGCTTTTGCTGACCGTACAGGGCCAGATCGCACGACTAATACTAGATGACTTTGGCAGCCGCTTCCCTTGCAAACCGGCGCCAGTTAGCGGCAGCCTTATTTCGGGGTTGAATGCAGGGCAAACAAAGGTGGCGCCTCGTCTGTCTGTAGGGAACGCAAAGAGCCGCAATGCGTACACAGGGGGACCCGCTCGCCATCGTACGCGCGTCGTGCCGCATTCTCCAATACGCCACAGCCTACCACTGTGACCCTCCTCAATAGGCGAAATCTCGCAGACCTTCTAGAACCTTCGCTAATTCGCACTCACATTAACCACAGCTTTATCGCCAATGTCGAAATGAAGGATGGCAAGTAATTATCGTCTTGCTTTCCACGACACGTCAATATGCTGCAGTACGACAAAGAAGTCAGAAAACTGGTACCGCCCGATTCGTCTGCTGCTCTCCCAGAAGCATTCGTCTGCAAGTTCAAGACGCCCATCTGGCCTTTTGGCTATTTAACATCTTTGTTGGACTCTCGGTTTATGGCGCTCTGAAAGATGCTCTACACTCGGATGCAGCCATCATCAAACGGTGCAGTCCAGTGCAGGTTCCCAGCTTCGCCCCACCGGAACCTGCATTTGAGACGCATCGGTATCTGCCGTCTGATACCAGAAAGACTTCTTATAAAGAGCCGAGCAGATGGCAAGACGAGCCCTAAACTTCCCTTGTCATTTAATTTTGAGCGAATGCTGTTGGGGCATATCTCCGTTTCGGTGAACAGGCTCTTTTCGGTCTCCCAGTGGAGTGTAGAAAGCTGGGCAGCTACCTTCCAAAATCACAAACCGCAAGCACAACTGCCTAGGTTATGCCCTTGTCATTCGCTGAACCCAACTAGGGCCGAACGAATCCGAATCATCCACATGGATCACCCATTCCGCGCCTCCTTGAGGGGCACGTGGTTGTGTCCAAAAGTCATCGCCCCATGCGCCCTTGTCTTTTCGCTGGAGGTGGAGCAGCAAAAAAGAAGCACCCCGGCCCACGAGCTGCTAATCGAATCAGTTTTCGAATTCCCGCTACAAACAACACGCATCGTCGTGTGTGTGGAGTTATCAAGCCACCTGCCTTGCAAGATACTCACACGGCGCCCATAGCGCCAGGTCGGCCGGGGACCCCTTCAAAACACCTTCTCCTACAAACCCCGCCCTCCCCCCGTCCCTCCTTAGCTGATAGTCAGCCCTTCCCCCCTCCGCGCGCTCCCTTGCTCTCGCTGGCCCGCAGCAAAAACACGACACAGTCCGCACATTTATGCTTACCCAACGTATGCTTATCGACATCCCCAATAAGCTTAGCTCACCAAAACCATCAAAACGTTAAGAACCTCCAAGCACGTGCTCAAGCACAAGCAGAGACTGCCCTCCCTCCCGCCCCACCGGTGTCCACTCCCAACGAAATAACCATCCATCTATCCATCCATGTAAACAACCGTCCAACCCCTGGAGCGGCGCATTACACGCCGCCAAACAACCTCGAGAGAAGGTTGCGGCAACCTTGCGAAGTGCACCAGGGCCAGGTAGCCCTAGCAAGAGTAACAAAACGCGCCATCATCATTACCATCATCATCGTCATCATCATCATCGTCGTCGGAGAACGCATGTCATCTTGAAGCCATCTCCAACACCGCCACACGCTTTTCACAAACAGTGCCGCGCCCATATATCGATCCACACAACGTCCGAAACCGCCACTAGCCGGCTAATGACTTCCAACATTCACAGCCGCTTGTGTGTGTGAGTGTGTGTGAGTGTGTGTGTGTGTATGTGGCTTCCAACGACCTCGCCGGGTCCGACCCGGTCCGGTCGCTAGGGCCCCTCACGTCTTCGCCTCCCCTGGGTAGCAACGCAGCAACGGCAACGGCGGTGTGGAGGGCACACGTCCTCGCAGCTTCGGACAGTCCATGCAGCGGCAGCGCACCCCACCGCGCTGAGGGGCTGAGAGGCCCAGAGGCCCACTGCACACGCGGGTGCCCGTTGCCTCCCCCCAGCTGCGGCTGCGGCAGCTGGTAAAGATGATACGACGATGACGTGTATGCGGCTCCCAGCTCACATCCCAGGCCCGTACATGCCATGTACTTTTAGATGTGCTAGGGTTGAGTACTCCGCCGCGGTCTGGCGAGCAAGCCAGTTTACCGAGGACATTGCCATTGCCACGGTACCGCGGCCCCAGCCGAACACACGAAAAGAAGTAACCCAGCCGAACAACTCCACAAACACATCCCACCCTGCCCTTCCTCACCAATTCGAACCTTGCGCATACTTGTGTGCCCCCCGGCTTCTCCCCCCTTTTGGAAACCATGCGATAGGTCGATTCGACTGGTGCAACAGTTGGCGCGCAGTGCCTCCTTCAAAAGCCGCATGGGTCCCCCATGCTCCGCAGCATGTACTACTACTTCCTTGCGCAGCCGCTGTCGTCAGCTCATCTCAGGTCTCAGCGCTGCATCGCGGGTAGGTGGAGGCCCATAGAGGAGGCGCTCTGGGCGATGATGGCGGCCAGAGCGGGGTTGGTAGCCAGCAGCGTGCGCAGCTTGTCAGGGTCGCGGAGCAGTGCCTGCGGTTAGGGTGGGAGGAACGGGGTTGAGGATCGCGGACCAGGTTGGTTTGGTTTGCTTCGGTTTTTCGGTTTGAATCGGTTTGGTTTGGTCGGTTCAAGTTGAGGTGTAGGTGGTGGCGGTGTTGGTGGAGGGGTTGGTGTTGTTGTTGGTGGTGGTGGTGATGGTAAACACGGCGATGTGTCAAGGGCGACTCGGGAGCGGCAACCGGACTTCAGAGAGGTTAGACCGCACATAGCGCAATACGACCTGTCACGCACACGGCCACTACAGGTCCGTTCACCGGGAGGAGGTCCTCCCCCTCCCCCCTCCCCCCTCCCCCTTCCCCCCTTCCCCCCTCCCGGATAGTGAGAGGGAGGTCGGGTGTGCGCACATGCCGCTGACAGGTTGGGAGGCCCAGCAAGCCAAGGGCCACCAAACCCTCTCACAGTCCCTTACCGCAAGCTGCTGTGAGGTCATACCAGCCGCCATGCCCGCGACACCACCTCCGGCGGCTGCGGGTCCAGGTCCCTGCTGCTGCGGTGGCTGCTGCTGCTGCTGCTGCTGCTGGAATTGTTGTTGCTGCTGTTGCTGCTGCTGCTGCTGCTGCTGCTGCATCGGCGGCGGCGGCGGCTGCCTTGCTGACTGCACGGGGGATTGCAGCCCGGCGTATAAGGCGTCGCCAAGATCTCCCCCCCGCTGCTGCTGCTGCTGTGGTTGTTGTCTTTGCTGCTGGTGTAGCTGCGGCTGCTGCGGCTGCGGCTGCGGCTGTACACGCCGCTGCTGTTGCTGCTGCTGCTGTTGGTGGGTCAAGGGAGGCGGCGGCGGCAACCCACCCCCGCCACCCAAGCTGCCTGCACTTCCTAACGGGCCTGAGCCGCTGCTGAACCGCCCGGGCATCGCACCGCCACCCCCGGACGGCACCCGACCCAACGGTCCCCCGGCCCCACCGCCGCCGCCGGCTGACCCCGGTGTCGGAGCGAACAGATCGTCGTACAGGGAGTCGGCGTCAGCGCTCGGCAGCGGCTGTAGCGATGGCGGCCTGAAGCCACCCATTCCCATCCCCATCCCCATCCCCACCCCCAAGCCCATATTTGACGGCCCCGACATCAGTGCACCGCCGGGTCCCGGGGGCGGCGGCTGCCCTGGCGGCGGCCCCGGCGGCGGCGGAGCACCCGGCGGTGGGCGCGGCGGCGGCGGCCCCATTGGCGCCCGTGGAGCCGGGGGCGACGCTCGGCTATCCATTGCGTTAGGGCCGCCACCTCCACCTCCGCCGGCGGGCCCAGCAGGGGGTTGCGGCGCCGTCGCGACCCCCGCCATTCGCTGGTAGTCATCCACGTGCTTGGAGGGAGCACGACTGCTGCTACCTCGCGCACGCATGTCGCCGCGGCGGCGCGGCGCCGTCACGATCGGAATGTCGTCCTCAGGTGCGCTGCCGGCCGCGTCGGCAGTACGGCCGGTACCACGGCCGCCCCCGACAGCGGTTCCGGCTCCGCCGCCGGCGCCGGCCGCGGCACCCTCGCCGGCCGCAGATGGCTTGGTCGCCGCCGCTGCCGCCGCCGCCGCCGCCGGCCGCGGCACATCGCGAGATCGCCGACGGCGGGAGAGGGGCTCCGGAGGCAAGAGGGACGCGACGGAAGCGGCGGCGCCGACGGCACCACAATCCCATCTGGAGGCACACGTCATAGTCGTCGTAGTCGTCATGGAGGTGTTTCAGCAGTTGCTCAATAGCGTTTTAGAGTCCCCCGTGTTTTAAATGGATTGTTTTGGGATTGATTACAGTGCCGGGTGCAGCAGCTGGGTTGGAACTTGGT